ATTTTTCAATTTTGTTGCATAATCTATTTTAGGGGCATTATAGACTTTTCACATCAGTTTTATTTTGTTCTTTCAATATGGTCGCTTAGAAAAAGTGATTTTGGGGGGGGGGGGGGGGGTTTCTTCTTTGTGTTTTTCCAGAAAATATCGTCTTGGTATCGGAAATCCATCACAAAGTTCAGCTTTCTGTTTTTTTTTTTATTTAGCAGCTTTTTGGACCTCCATGACCAGATTTCATGGAGGGGCATTTCGGGCATTCTACATTACGTTGTTTTTTAATTCTCTCCTAATTCACATAGAAAACTCAATTTTGAGGGGGGTTTCTTCTTTGTGTATTTCCAGAAAAATTCATCTTCTTGCCTGTTTTTGATCTCAGATGTAGACAGATCCTGTAGCAGCTTTTTGCCCTCTTGTCCAGTTCTGATCTAGGGGCATTTTGGAGATTTCACAGTGAGTTTTTTAATATTCTGTCCACGATGTCGGGTAGAAAACTCAATTTTAGGGGGGTTTTCTTCTTCGTGTTTTTCCAGAAAAACTCGTCTTGGTCTCCATTTCAAGCCTCAGTTCTGGAATCTCACTTTTTTTTTTTTTCTTACTGTCAGCTTGTGCATGCCATTGGGCGCCGGCATGGGCGCCGGTGGGCTCGTGCATGGGCGCCATGTGCACCATGGCCTTCGTCGGGCCGCCGCGACATCTCAATTTCAAACCCTCATTTCTCCTCCGTCCGGACTCCAAATCGAGTAAACTTTTTTTTTGCACTTGACTAATTTTTCGCTGTCTTTCCAACGGTGTGCTCGATTGCACCCAGATCTTCCTGGATAATTACCAGTTTACCCTTTTAGCCTTAAGTGCTCGTTTTTTTTTCATCAGGCCGTTTCTCCTTCATCCGGACTCCCAATCATGCGATTCTTGAGTCCATCCTGATTTTTTTTTTTTTTGTTGTCTTTCTAGCGGTGTGCTCGGTGGCACCCGAATCCACATTTTTTAGAAATGACTATTTTGCCCTTGGGGGCTTATTTGTCATATTTTTAATTTTTTGCTTCCGCATCAGTTCTTGTTGAGTTCCACGACCTCATGGAAGGTCACTTTGACTTTTTAGAGTCTTATTTTCTGTTTTCGCTTCCGCATTTAGATCCGTTATCGGATCATCCTTTCGGTTCATCACTGATGCACTGGCCTAAAAACCAAGGCCGTCACAATTTTGCCCTTGGGGGCTTATTTGTCATATTTTCGATCTTTTGCTTCTGCATCAGTTCTCATTGAGTTCCACGACCTCATAGAAGGTCACTTTGACTTCTTAGAGTCTTTTCACTTTCGCATTTCGGATCCGTTATCGGATCATCCGTTAGGTTCATCACTGACGCACTGACCTAAAAACTAGGGTCGTCACAAGATCACACACATACGCCTCCATCTTTGTTCTCGTTCTCAACTCTGAACTTGCCCTCCCTTTGTCCCTGCGATTGCAAACTAAAAAATCTACAAGAATCAGATTAGCCTCCCAAATCACCTCCATCTCTATTCTCGTTCTCAACTCTGAACTTGCCCTCTCTCTATCTCTGTAACTGCAAACTACGAAATCTACAAGAATCAAATTAGCCTCCCAAATCGCCTCCATCTCTATTCTCGTTCGCAACTCTGAACTTGCCCTCTCTTTGTCTCTATAACTACAAACTACAAAATCTACTAGAATCAGAACCCATATCTGCATATCATTTCAGATTGTTAAAAATATTAAAACCCATATCCTTCAGTTTCCATCGCCTGCTACTCCAATTCGGGTTCGCCTTTCTCAAGCTTCAGCCGCTGGCCCTCTGTCTCTCAACTCTCAAGCCACTACAAGAAATTCGGGTTTTAGGGACAGTCCTTTAGGGACAGTCTATAAAACTGTCCTTAAAACCTTCTTTTTTAGGCACTGTCTTAAGAGACTGTCCCTAAAATCGTATTCTTTTGGCACAGTCCTTTAGACTGTCCCTAAAAACTATTTTTTTGGCACAGTCGTTCAGACTGTCCCTAAAAACTTAAAAGGCCCGTCCCCAATTCCACAAAAAATTGCCCGGCAAAACTTGGCGCTTTTAATTCCTTATTTGGCATTTTTGTTTTGCCGCTTAATGCATTTGTTAGAGAAAAATTATAATATATAAAATTATTTTATTTAATAAAATACTAAAAACTATGTTGTTTAATTTAATTACATCATATCCATATACCTATCATCAATTCTCAAGCCCTCACTCCCTCTCTTCCACCTCTTCCACCCTCGCAGAATACTGAAGCTCTTCCACCCTCGCAGACCACCGTCGCAAAATATTGAGGCTCTTCCCCCCTCTTCCAGCAGCATAGGCTGAATGACCCGATCATTCCAACATCGACTCTTACTCTTCAGGTACAACAATATTTTTATTTTTTCAAAATTTTAGGGATTATGCCTCTTTCTTCGATTTTCAGAGAACCCCTAACTTTGATTTGACATTCATATAACCCACTTCGATTTAATGATCCTCACCCTAGTTTTGGTCCATTTTTCTTTTGATTGTTTCAGATCTGGACACATATATATGCTATTTACAATTTGTGTTCATTTTAGGGTTTGGAAAATTATTTGTGTGTTTATTTTTGGTTTCTGATTGTTTTTGGCTTTAGTTAATGGTTTATGGTCTAAGAGGTTGATTATTATTATTTTTTTTCCTGAACTTGTTTTTTATTTTTTTATTTAGATCTTACAAAATGCTGGTGATTGAACGGCATTTCAAAGACTTCGTCCTGTTTTTTCTCCGTTTTTTGTTGATTTTCAGATAATTTTGGCCTCTAATATATTTTTTTGGGCTTGAAATTTTTTGTCTGAGGGATTGTTTGTTGTTTATTTGTGTTTGAAGTTTGATTGTACATTTTTCTCTGTTACAGTGTGTGTAGTGTGTGTTTTATTTTGGTTGAAGCTTTTTGTGCTCTGTTCTTCTATCCTTTAGATATTCAAATACTCAGTTGATTTCATAATAGCTTCCTTATTAAATAATTAGCGTACCTCTTAATTAATTCTATACCTCTTTTTTCAATTTTTAAACAATTATTCGCCCAGTATGTATGAAAAAAAAAAAAGGGTCGAATTTGAAACGTGGCATCGTGATACTGGAAAGCACAAGACAATTTATACTTTAATTAGGAAAAAAAAAAAAAAAAGGTTTTAAGTAATGTTTTGCAAATTAAGACATTTAATAGTTAAATGTGCTTTTGAAAGTGAAACTACTTTTTGATTTGTAAAAGTTAAGTTTGTGATGCTAATATTTGTGAAATCACTTTGACAGAATTTGAATCCTGGGTTTTATTTCTATTTTGTTTGTTGTATTGTGTTCAATTTAGGAAAAAAGTCACATTTGCAGCAGCGATTCTTTGTTGCTTTGAAGAGAATCTCGGGCTTGGAGGAGGCTATCAAAATCAGGAGGTACACTATTGTGATGGAACTTTATAAACCCTTATTATATATATATATATAAGTTCTTTTTGTGTTAGAATTTATTTCAAGGCTTTGTATTCATTTATATTTATTAATTTGTATTCATTTATATTGAGGATGCCAGTATCTTAACCTTTCAATTTTTCCCAATTAATATTAATCCAATTACAGAGTTCTACAATTTATGTCTACCGCCAACTTTATGTGATATTAAAAAATTAGTGATTTAGGGATGAATTCGACAATTAACTAATTTAGGAGATGTACAGGATTTTTATGTCATTTTATGCTTAATGGCATCCTAAGCTTCTTCAACTTGTAGCCATAAGTAGCATATCCAGTTTATGTGAGTCCTTTTCAGGTTCCTTGGTGTTCTCAATTGTTTTCAATTAAAAATTTGCAATTTATGGAGTTCAAATTATTTCCCTGGAGAAGTTTTTGATGCTCTATTTGTTTTGCTGGGACATGCACTTATGAAAGGAGAAAGGCGAAGATCTGTAATGTTTGAATATGCATATATTTTGCATTCAAACTCATTTATCACAGGACTACAGGAGAGACGAGTGACAAAATATTTAGTATGGTTGTTTCCTTCATTGTAGTTACTTTGTTAATTGTAATGTTTTTGAAATTAATTCTCCAAATCTTATAAATTCTGCTTTTGGACAGGCCAATAGTCAAGACTGTACATGCTTCACACTTTATCATTGCTTTAAAGTCCAAGAGCATCACTAGACTTGATAATGCAGTATCATCTGACAGGGTGTCTCCACTAGAACTAGGCACCTGGGTTTTGCCCCTAACTTCAATTATTCAATTATATGTACCTTATATGAGTTAGCTCAAATTTCAAATATTGCTAAGGAACAAATTATAACAAAAAATTTGAACTTTGGTGTACAGTTCAAGTACCTATAGGGACATGAAATGATGGAGTTTATTGGTAGTAGGGCTACCCTTGTTGTGTAGCTATGCCGTTGGGCCAAAGAAAAAAGAAATGACCCAGAACTTAGGCTCTAGAATTCCATTTGGTATGAGGGATGAAAATGATAGGAACTAAGGAAGCTAGGAAGGAAAAGAGAAATAAATTTTTTTCTCTTTTTATTTGGTTTAGTAAGGAAATAGGTCTTACCTATTTTACCATTATATGCGCGCGCGCGCGTGCCGGTGGGGGGGGTTTCTTTTCATTTTCCTTCTGATCAGATATAGAACCTCCACTCTTCATGGCTTTTTCCTTCTCCCTCTCTTCCCTCTTATCTAAAGAAAATTAGGGCAATACCTCAAAAATCAGAGTTAATTTTACAGTAAGCTAAAAATGTATACCAATATCCTTCAACCCATTCTTTACAATTACCAAAATCTAATTAAATCATGTAAACAGACCTGGCAAATCATCCTACATGTAAATTTTTAGTTCTAAAACGGATCTTTTGTTTATCAATAGGAAATGGAAAATGATTTGTTTTTTGATCTGATTTGACGAGGACCTGCAGTTTTTCACAATGGGCCTACACTACAACAAAATGGGCTTTTAAAAACACTTTTTCTAAAAGGGTCATGCATAACCCTTGTAGAAAGCACTTTCTACAACAGGCCCGGGTAGTCAGCCAGACCCATCAACACCACCTTGAACCATCAACATCATCCACTTAGCTTACCTTGCTGATCCGTGTTTAAATGCTATCTCGTGAGGCAAAAGGATGGGATTGGGGCTCAAACTAGATTACCCTTGTTCAGACTCCCTAAGATACGAGGAAGCGAAAAAGGATCACAGCCATCACAGAACCTGTTATTTTCTCCATCAACAATAGATTGAAGCCTTTAAATCTCTGTAAGTTTCAAATCTTGAATTATATCTCTTAATCACTTCACAATTTGTTGATTGTTCTTCTCAATTCTGATACTTTGTAAATAATTGAGTTTTGCAATTTAGGCTTTTGATTTGCTTTTAAAAAATCTCTCATCATTCAGTCCTGTAGAAGAAAATACATATATAAATGTTATGATTATATGAGTTTAATGAAATGTTTTATAAATATTTTTTCTTATAGATTTCGATTTTGTTGAAGTTTTCATTCCGTGCTTGAATGAGTTGATTGGCAATTTGATATGATTTTTTTGCATAAGGTTTCAGTCTACCTACTGATTATTTGATGGAGATTTGATGGAGATCAGCCAGTTGCCAAGAATAAACAAAAATAAAAGATAATAGTCACTGATTCTATATTTCCAATTTGGATTCTTTCATGCATGTTTAGTAGTTTATGGTTGTGACAAAATTGGTTTAAAGTGAACTCATTCTCTTCATTGCTTTTGAATTTGTCAAGTTCGGGATTTCAGCTTTTTCATACATTAATTTTGATGGCCTTTCTTCCTTTTTTCCCTTCTCTTTTGGTACTCATTTAACACTTAGTGCTGCATATATCAGTTAAGCTTTGTCCAGTCCGAGTAAACATCAAATGGGCTATTATATTAGGTTTTTGGAGGTAAAAATTAGTGGTTGTATATATTAATGATGATTTTGAGATAATTCCTAGATATCTTTATAATGGTGTGACTCTTCAATGAATTGTGCATGGGTCGGTTACAAGAGCATTCCCTACTTCTTGTTTGTATATATTGTTCTCCCTTGTTGGGTTTGTACGGGTCTGTAGCCTTGCTATATATAAGTGTTTGATGCTATATAAATCCGTGTACATGATTAATGAATTTTACTCTATTTATTATATTTAATTTGATGCAAAAAAGAATCAAATATAAAACCTTACTTAAAGTCTTAACAATCTATATACATGTATAAGGTTTGCAAAACAAGTCTGTGTTTTGTGTATTTATATTTATGTATATGATGTGAACAATGTTTAGAATGCTTACAATTAGTTTCCCAACTGTTGGGTCCTTAATCTACCCCTCTTGTAACGACCCACAATCGCAGGAACTCTTACATGAGTTCGTACTCTCAATCATTGAATCCAGAGTGGAGTATACAAACTCATGATGAGAGCGTACTATTAATACTTTATATGTGTGTATATAACAGTGATCAATTCAATTGAAGAATAATATTAATACATAGTAAGGAGTCCTAAAAGAAATGTTTAATGTTGTTTGTCTTGATAAATTTTGAATGAAGAGGATCTTATGTCATACTGTGTTTTTAGTGACTCAGATATCCAAGTGAAGTTGACAAGCATTTGTTGTCTCAGCAGACTGGTTTGTCCAAATATCAGGTACTCATTACCATCTTTTTGCATCAAATTTGATGTGTCATATTCATATTTATGTGTGTGTGTGTATATATATATTCTGATAATTCTGAACTACTTTGTCTTTTTTTTTTTCTTTTTCTTTTTTTATCTTTTTTCTACTTTTGATTTTGAATTATATATTATTCGACTTGTTCTTTTATTAACTCTAGGGGTTGTTGCTTCTTTGGGTACCTTGTGAATGCATCCCACATTTCCTTGCATGCACATAGCCGTGATATATATATAGTTGGTCATGAATGAATGAGAGAGATTATTTTTTATCTCTGATATGCATAATAATAGTGAAAATTGAAGATATTGATTTGTTCTGTCCTGTTTTTTAGAAGACACTTCTCAAGAATTCTGAAAACCGAATTAGACCATTTTCTGGAAATCGACTATTTTTTTTAATTAATTCAGTTTTCTGAACACTATATTTTTAGAAGTCAACGAAACGAATATTTGAAATTGTGTACTCTTTTTCTGTTTTCCAGTTATTTGATATGATGAACAGATAAGTGAATGAAACAAGCTCTATAAAAACATGTTTGGTTTAGTCTTAAAACATAATTCTCATAGAATTATAGTGTACTATTATATCTGAAATTTCCTTTTTTATAACTTAATTTTCAGAAATTTCCTTTAGAAAACTTTCAAACCAAAGAATTTGAGTTGTTTAATGTTTTTTTTAGTTATCCTAGAAATAAAAAACTGGAGCAATTAAGCAGATCAAATTTATAAGAACTCCATAATTAGTTTCCAACATTTCCTTATTGTTTCCTACTTTCTTACAAAGCCATTTCCACATCAACTTTGGTCTTAAAACAAATAACATGGCGTTGACATTCTTTAATCCCAGCATTTGAAGCAATATCTTTTTATATAACTTGAAAGAAACTCATTTAACAGATCAAATGCATCAAACTTTTGTTGTTTGATATGAACAAGTAAAAAAAAATAAAAATATTGTTAGGTGACTGAAAAATTATGCTATATATCCACATGCTTAGGGATCAAATTCTGGAATCACACTAGTTTGTGCCAGTAGGTAGCAGTTTGTGGCGGAGTGATGGTTTGCAGGGTGTGTTTGAGGGAATAGGATTTTGTAGGTGATGGGAGTCCATTGTATGAGGTTAGTGGTATTGAGGTTAGGTAGTGGTAGGCTTGAGATGTTTAAGGACAGTAGTTACTCATTTAATATGTTAAATGAAATAAAAGATGTTAAAACAGAGTTTTCGATTTAACTATTTTAATGGAGATTGAGAAATGTAAGAGAGAGAGAGAGGGGCATGTAGGAGTTTCATGGTTTTTTATTTAGTTTTTAATTTTTGCAAGAAACTCACACACACCATATTCCCACAAGGCGCTTGGTAATTTCATGGTGAGTAGAAGGTAAAAGAAGATAAAGTGATGCATATATGCTACTCCATGCAACATGTACATCCCTATATCAGCAACAGCAGCAGCTGCCACCATGGTTCCACCAACAACAGTCTCCATCAGATTCCCAACAGCAGCGAACCACACCAAACTAGCATCAATAGCCTCCACCACCTCCAGCGGACTCTCATTTTCAGCAGCCGCCACTAACAAGGTGGCACCAGCAAGCACCACCCACAACCACCAACAAAATGAATAATGGATCTTAAAGAGGATGGAACAATATTTTGTGCTTCTAGATGGTGTAATTTTTAGTTTAGAAAACTGGAGAGCAATTTTAGTTTTTGTTTAGAAAATTGGAGATTTTATGGATCTTGAATATATGTATTGAGGATTTATTTTATTTTATGGCTAGTAATATCTTTTTGAATGTTATTGTGGATCTATTTTATTTATGTTTTGCATGTATTCAAAATGATTAAACCCACAAATCAAGCATAAAAAAATAATAATAAAAAATAAAAATAAAAATAAATAAATTATGTACTAGGGACAGTCTACCCGTCCCTAATATAATAATTATAATTAAAAAAATCATGCATTAGGGACAGTCTAACTGTTCCTAATACAATAATTATAATTAAAAATAATGTATTAGGGACGGTTTGTCCGTCCCTAATACTATACGTATTGGGGACAGTCTCCAAAACTGTCCCTAATTCATATGTTATTAGGGACAGTCAATACCGTCCCTAATAAGTTTTAGGGACGGTATTATTTGGGACAGTTAGTACTGTGCCTAAAGGTCAAAAGTATTTGTCACGGTCCAATTTGATCGTCCCTAAAGTTCTTTTGTCACACTACTTTTAGTGACGGACCAATTTGACCTTTAGGGACGGATTTCGAGCTTTTAGGGACAGTTTGGACTGTCCCTAAAACCCGAATTTCCTGTAGTGAGCCCTTCTCTTTGCAACTGCTAACTTGTATGTATGGGTTTTGTTTTATTTATTTTTTTCTAAATCAATTAATCAAGGTCTGTAATTCTTGTTTTGCAAACTAAATCCTATTTAGTGAAATTTTTATGAAATTTTTTAATTTTTTTATGAATTTTAGTTATAAATATTTGTGAAGATAACGACTGAATTTGTGGAATTTTGAAATTTTAGTACTGGGTAGGGGTCAATTTGATACTGCATACTTGTATCAGAATTGGGTTTTTGGTACTGGGTAGTTTCACAGTTGTAATTTATTTTTTCTTTAGTTTGTCTACTGTTCTTGTGAACTAGCTAATTATTGAGGAGTTATTTGATTTTATTTCTGAATTAAAACTTGTATGATTATATGGTTTGATTTGATATGGTGACTACAGCCCCTTTCAATCATGGGTATAAATTCCAAGACTAGTTTGTTTCCATATCTAAGATCTTGGTTGCCTATGGTTTGTAGGTTATAAAATGCCGAGTGAGAGTGGAAATTGATTGCCTGAGGGAGTTTAAAAAGATGCTTAGTATACATGAGGAGGACTGTCTGAATTGGAAAATTGTTGTTACAAGGCAACCGATGAGGTACCTTGGATTTACTGTCATTTCACTTTGTGATTGCATTATTTAATGGGAAAAAGAATGAATAAATAAATAAAAAATTGTTGCAGTATACAGGTTCAGCGTGGGATGAGCTCAAGCATATCAGACAGGCAATAGGATTTCTGGTAATCTCATCTATTCGCTATTCATATTTGAATTCCATCTTGAAAGAAAAGTGGCAAAACCACTGAAACATTACGTCTTCTAATTCAGGTTATACATTAGAAACCAATGAAATCACTAAATGAAATAAACCGTGACCTGTGCTCGGTGAGAAAGACATTTTTTTTTTTTTTTTTTCCGCATAAATAACAGGATATACAGTCATTTCTACCTTCACAGTATCAACTAGCGTTTTACTTGTTTTATTTTTCTTTCCTCAGGTGCTTAGCATACCTCAGCTGTATCGGATCAGTACAATATTGTACTGGGATGACAAGTATGGCACTCATAGTGTGTCCCCAGATGTAAGTTTTTATGAATGCGATTATTCAAACTAGGATTGAGACATCTTCTTCACAAAAGAGATATTCCATACCACATACATTTATGACAATACTAACCACAATAAGATTTGGTATTCAGGTGAATTATATCCAGCATGAGGGTGTTGATGACTGAAGACTCACACAATGCAGCTAGCAATTCTTTTTTATTAAATGATGATTCGAGGTTAGCATCGACATGCTTCAACTTGATGATCCTTGCCTTTTTGTTTCATATTTCGTGTTGCATCTCATTGGAACTTAATTGAAGAGTTACCTGGAGCTTATATATAATTATGTTACTTTGAGCTTATTGTGTTATATATATATATATATATATATATATATATATATATATATATATATATATACATGCATACATATATTAAATCAGAAAAAGAAAATAAGAAATTGAAGAGTGGTCCAAATGGACAGAGATTTATAGATGAAACCAATCTTTTGTAGATGTGTAGGATTCCCATAATTTCTGATGTCCAGAGAACCTGCCCCCTATTCCTGCTCAATGTGCACGTAACGATCACTGATGTCTCGTAATGATTCATAATGCAGTATTCCATTTTTGGTTGATGACATATCAAAGTCGATGGAACAAATAGATATCTCTGATATTGAACCACCACCTCTTATTCGCGAGGACTCAGGCTTTATCTTCTTGTTGCCGCAATCTGACTGACCACTTTCGATATTTCATAGTATATATATATATATATATATATACCCTAATATGTCATTCTGCTGCCAACTTGCTTTTCTTCTTCTTGACTAGCTGTTGATATCTTCAACTTTTCTTATTTTTGATAGGTTTAGAACATCAATATTCATCTGTTTTTGCTCTTGGGGTAGAATTCAAAACAATGGAAAATAAATACATTAACCCAATGAGAAAGAGAAAAGTACTATAGCATTCTAATAAATTAGCAAGTAGGGGTAAATTAGTAATTTTGTCTCTCACAGTCGGTAAGTAGTCTCCGCTGAGAGAGGGTAATATGCAACCTTAAAAAGTTTAGGGTTTGACCTGCTCCAAAAAAAATAGTACATTAGCTATATTGCAACTATATAATAATTTAGGGATTTTTTTTTTCCATTTTTGCATTTTTGCCTAAAAACTACATAGAAATTTTTTAATTATTATTTTTTATTAAAAACTGTAAATTTGAAAGCAGTGGGAATAAAACTGACATGAGGTTGGTCTCTGACTATGAGTGTGGAACAACAAATTTTTTGCCTCGGGTATCCTTAATTGACACGTTAACGAGAACAAAACTGGATAATGACTGATTCATAGTGCAAGTTATTGAACCAACTAGCCTGAATCTACAAATTTGCAAACAGTTTGGAATGGCTACCCTAACCATGTGCTACATTCCACTCAACCTGGAATTCATTAATGACAACCTCACTCAATCGGCTTCCATTGAGAAAAATCGGATTCAATTGTCAACTACCTCTATCAAAAATAGGATTGATCGACTAACTAAAGGGTTAAGTGATTCAGCAGCATCAAAGCCCAGTTTCCTAAAAGAAGGTTTTTAGTTTGAGTTTCTGGATACATGTATGATTTTGCTTTTCCAGCCATATGTGTGATTTTGCTTTACCAGCCATAGCATGGCACATGGTTTCATGAAACCACATGATAAAAGATAATGTAAGTTTCGCGGTCTTCCCTAAAGCTCATTCGAGAACCTGAAAGATAATGTTCCAATTATGATATTCAAATTTTCCTCTAATTTTCATATTCCTAATGAAAACCACTATTTCCTTTTCTTTGGGTATTTTGAAACAAAGTCACAGTTTACATACCAGTAATGAATATTGCTGTTCAACTCCATAAATCAATATTTCACTTGTAATGACCCTGTCATTTTTTTCCCTTTCATTTTTCTCAAATTTTACGGATAAATTTTTTTCATTTAATTTTCTTCTCCAAGTTCTATTTCTCGTCACTTGGTGCCATCTTGAGTGCTTGGAAATGATTTTCGAGACTCTTTCATTTGGATTGACAACTTCCTTTGAGGACCGAGTCATTTCCACATTTTCACTTTTTGGACACTATTCACTTTTCGTCCTTTTTTCTATTTTGTCTTTTACCCGTTTGTCACTTTTTGGCACAACCTTACTTTTCATACTTGAAGTTGGTTTTTGACTTCACGTATCTTCATTCTAAGTGGTTTCCATGAAATACGTATCTTTAATTTTGTAGAAAAGTACTCTGGTTGCTCTCGGTGTCCATAGGGGCATGGATGCACAATTCTTCAAAAATTATTTCTTTTCTTCGGGTATTTTTCAAAAATATCTTTTGAAGATATTTTATTTTATGAGTTTTTAAGAAAATATTTTTGGAAGATATATTTATTTTGGGACATTAGTGCAGTTAACCCTTTTTGGAGGGGCCATTGTGCAATTAATGAAAGTTATTGCAAAATAACTCATTTTCAGCCTGGATCCTCGTACGGGATTCATTTTCACTTTTCATCGAGTCATGTACTCCTACAATTTCCATTTGGTCGTTTTTCTCCAATTTTAGGGTTTTGGGCCTCGGTTGCCATCGAAATTGTTCAGGGCATATCTTCCTGCTCAAGACTCGATTTTTGACACCGTTTCTTTTGTTGTTCATATTTTCTCACCTTGGTTCTTTTTCGTTCATAGAGTTTCACCGTTTGAGCGCGTCTGCTCAAATTCCACTTTTTCGTACCTGGCGAGATCTATTCGGGGCATTTTTTTTTAGTTTTTCTATAATAGGGGATCTTAAGTCAAAAAATCAGATTTCATCATCTTCCTCCCCTCTCTTGGCCGGATTCCATGGTAGCCATGGTTGCCACCTTCTCTCTCCTCCTTTGAAGCTCTTCCTTCGTGTAAAACGCCGTAGTGCCTTAGTGTTTTGTGTTCTCCTTGACGACGAACACCTTTCCCCCTTATTAGAACCCATTTCTGACCATTTTGTGAATTTGGGTTTGAAGTCAAGTTATGATTTTCATGGGGCTTCCTTGGGGTTAGTGATCATCGTGTTTTGCCCAACAAAACCCCAAAGTATCGTCGGATTCGGAACACTTTTCTTTCGTTGGGGATTTGAGATTTCCATCTCAAATTGAGGTAGGGGTTATTATAGTTTCATTTTCTTGATGTATTGTTTGCTATTGATGCTTATACAATTCATTTACATGTCTTTATATTAAATATAGAGATTTTAGTGTTTATTTTCATATATGAGATTTTATTCTCCCAGTTGGTTTTAGCTTAGTTTAAACATGTGGCATGACAATAAATTACCTCTTGATATGTTCATTGACATATATTAAATTGAGAGCATTTAGACA